CAAAACAGTGGGGATGACAGTGGACTTCAGAAGAAGAACCCCCCCCCAATACTTAGCAGCAGTGTATCAGCAGTAGAGTCCTACAAGTTCCTGGGCTCCACTATCTCCCAGGACCTGAAGTGGGCGTACAACATCGGGACCATCACCAAGAAGACACAGCAGAGGATGTACTTCCTGTGCCAGCTCAGGAAGTTTGACCTGCCCCAGGAGCTGCTGATACAGTTCTACAAAGGAATCATCGAGTCTGTTCTCTGCACCTCCATCACTGTCTGGTTTGGCTCAGCAACCAAACAGGATAAGTACAGACTTCAGTGGACAGTCAGGACTGCAGAAAAGTTCATTGGTGCCTGCCCTCCATGGAGGACCTATATACCTCATGGGTCAAAAGGAGGGTGGTGAGGATCACTGCAGACCCCTCACACCTGGGACACAACCTGTTTGAACTCCTCCCCTCTGGACGGCGTTACAGGTCACTGTGCACCAAGACAACCAGGCACAGGGACAGTTTCTTCCCCCAGGCCATCACTCTGATGAACACTTGACCCACGACAGTACGACTGGACGATAACCCTCAGTGCAATACTGGTAATATACATTGTACAGATTATACAGATCCATACAGGTCTCTTTTTCAAGTACTCTATTTTTATTCCTATTTATCTAATATAACAATGAGCATTACTTTCTCAGTCTGTATTGTTTACTGCCTGTCTATACTGCTTATTTTTGTCAGGGCTGCTCGGCGGCCGCTGCCTCTCCTCCGTCTTTCTCTCCTCTGCTCTCTCTATCATGTGGGCTCTGCACCTCAGCTGTGTTGCATTCCAGTAATTAGCAACTGGTTTGTCGATGCACACAGCTGGGGTGCATCCCGATGATTACCTTCGCCTCCTTATAGATGCTCCGTCTTGACCGGAACATTAACATAGTAACGTGGACTGTACATGTTGGTAGAATGCTACGCTGACAGACACTGTGCGTTTTGGCTTGACTCTACCACACTACCTACGAGCTACGCTCATTTACACTACACTACATATCATACATATCCAAGTACCGTACCTTCCCATGTTATGTTCTTTTGATACTTTGTGTTCTCTTTCTTTACCTGCTACCATCATGTTTTTTCCCCCTAGCACCTGGGTCTGCACACTTGAGTCCAACCTCAGTCCTCCCACACCCTCCTGGTGAGGGGGGCTACCATAACAATTTTGCATTGTTTGCACTGTTTGTTGCTTGTTAATACTGCTTATTTTCATACACATTGAGAGCTGATGTACCAGAGTCAAATTCTTCATGTGTCCAACACACCTGGCCAATAAAGCACATTCTGATTCTGATTCTGATTCTGAACCTGTGAGTGTATCTACACCTTAATTTTTAGGATTAAACCATGACTGGCTGAGATGCAGGAATAGCTGAATAAATATAGTTGGTTTTGTGTCGGTGAAATTTTTGATGCATTAAATCAATGTGTCAAGATGCATTATCTGTACAACTGTTGGAACTGGATCAGTGTGTTTGGGACTGGCAGTGCTGGTGTTATAGAGGTGCAGTTTTGTTTCTTTTTGAGGAAGTGTAAAAATGTATATTTCAGAAAGCCTGGTCAACACTCCAAACTGAATGAATCACCTTAAAATATCTACTGGGCTTTCCCTGCCCCCACTGATACCTACTGTTTTTAAAAATCTCTTCTCATCTTTCAGACAGAATGAACATACAGTATGTTTGTCACAGCAGCTGGGTCATGTTCATTTGTTTTTTTAGCAATGTTTAATTCTCTGCTTTGTTTCCTCAGACTTGCGGCGAATGACAGCAGGCTTCATGGGCATGGCTGTGGCCATCATCCTGTTTGGCTGGATAATCGGTGTGCTCGGCTGCTGCTGGGATCGAGGCCTCATGCAATATGTGGCCGGTCTCCTCTTCCTCATGGGAGGTAAGATACCCACCCACCCCCCCGACACACACATTTTTTTTCATTTCTTGTGGGAACTTTACATTGATTTACATTCATTTCACACTTCACCTAACCTTAACTACATCTTCTACTTCCCTGACTGTAACCCTTACCCTACCCTTAACTTAAACCTAACCTTAAACCAAGTTGTCACCCTAAATTGAAATGATCTAAGTAATGCCAATTCTCCACTGTGAGTGTGATAAAAAAGGTTTTGGTTGCCACAGTGTGAATAATACCAGGTGTGCACACACACATGCATGTACACACATTTCCTAGTGCCGTACCCGAACCCTAACACTAAACCTAATATTAACCTGAATCCTAAAACCAAGTATTGAAGTTGTGAGGACCAGACAAAATGTTCTCACATTGATGGTCTTGAAGTAACATTAATCTATACAACCATAGAAAGCTATGTTACCTCAACCTCCCACCCCCTGTATATTTGCTTCTATTAGGAGTACAGTTCATTCTGAAGAAATAAAGTGAAAAAGATAATTTAAAAAAAATTAATAGAAAATTGTTTAAGGAAGGGATGTCACTGTTTTGGTGGTATGTTCTCTTTGCAATCTCCTGGGGTTTTGGCCATATAGCTACTGTTTTGTTGGTGACTCAGACAAAGGTTGTTTGAGGAAAGATGCATCAGAGAAGAAACAGAGGCCTCTCTGCTTCTCTCTCTGCATTTTTCCAACAACAATAGACCAAAATACAATGTGGACACTGTGGTGATGAAGTGGGTGGAATTATATCAGGCAACCAGAGTTTCGGAAGTAAAAGTCCTGTTCATTGTATGCCAAGACACTATGAGTTCATGGTCTGTCAGTGCATTTCTAATCGCTGACTGACTTCAGACTTTAACGGTTGAATCATCAGTCAAATAAGCTGGAAGTCACTGAGCTGGTAAAATTTTGGAAATAGGTTTTGTCAGCAGCAGAATGCTCTCAGGATTAAATTTTTAACACTATAATGAGGAAACATTTATCTATATGTGCAAACTGTCAAATTCTGCCAATTTACTCCCAATCATAGGAGGTGAGAAAGTACTTGCTGTACTGCAGGGTTTGAGCTTCTTTCTCAAGCTCTCTTCTCTTCTTTACACAGCTACTTCTGTCAGTTTTCTTGTGAACAATGAAGTGCAATATTATGAATGTCAAAGGGAGAAACTGGCCTACAGTGTCTGTCAAGTCTGGGAAGTGTGTTATCACTCATGTAGCCACAACAGCTGCTGTATAAACACATTTGCATTTTGGGCAACTTGTCACATGAACTAGTGTCATAGCATAGTGGTAAAATTGTTTATGTTTAAGGGATTGAATTACCACTGACCGTTATGACTGTACCATGCAGTGCCACAACATAACCTAAAATCCTTGGTTACCACTCAATAACAAAAGAATGTAGAACTTACCTGAAACCCAGGTGAGCTTGGCTAGTCTTTCTGCCATTGCTATTTGTGTTTCTCTTTCTGGTGTGTACCCTTTGGCTGTTTCATATTACATAAGGTCAACCTTCTTCAAGCTTCAAGCATATTGTAGCTATTAGAGTCAGGGCAAGATGGAAAAAGTCAACACTAACCAATGGGACATGTTGCCCTCAACATTTAACTAAAACTGCCATCTTTCTCTAACTATAACCAGGTGTCTGGAGCTAAAAATGTATATTATGCCCGATGCTTTGTATGCCAAGGCATACAAAGCAAACATCTTCTACCTAAAACATTTACCTAAACCTAAAAAGTTTTTTCAGCATACTATGACCAGGATGACTGAGAATTTGCAGACATTTGTATGCCAAACCACCCACCCTAACCTCCTCTTTACAAGCTCTCTATAGGAATGCCATAAAAATTACATTAAAAATTGCTAGTGAAAAATATTCAATTAACATTTACATCTCTACATAATTCAAACATTATTGAAAATCAAAACAATAGGATGATAACATCATTTTTAGGATGTAGAATGTAGCCTGACCCCCCACCTGAAATGGATATGGGGTTTGGTTGCTCTTCTTTTGTGACAGAGATTTGATGTATTCCTTTACAACATCTTGTTCTGTCATTGCAGGAACCTTCTGCATTATCTCTCTCTGTACCTGTGTTGCTGGTATCAACTTTGAGCTTTCCCGTTACCCACGGTATCTGTATGGCCTGCCTGATGACATTGGCCATGGCTATGGCTGGTCCATGTTCTGTGCCTGGGGAGGCCTTGGCCTGACCCTCATTGCCGGCTTCTTCTGCACCCTGGCTCCTTCCATCCAGCCAATACCCCGATCTACCTGCCCCAAGTCCCGACAGGAGAATGGCACTGTCTGCTAAAGCTGGCAGCTGTGAGAAGACCAACTTACCCAACCCAAAAAACAACAAACAGAAAAAACTGTTCCATCTGTTCATCTGTTCACTTATCTCCAGTCTCTCTTGGCTCCATTTTTTTATGTGTGTGTGTGTTTAAAATGGGTGTCTTGATGATCTGCTATCTTGAAAATAACAGAAAAAAAACTAAACTAAAGAAATGTTATCAAAAATTTGAAGTTGTGTTTGTTTTGTTTTGTGGAACAGACACTTAAATGGAGAAATGGTTGCAAAGGAGACACTGAGAGACAAATTTTTGGCTAGCGAGTGGGTGTGGAAAAAGTGTTCAACCTAAGAACTGCTTATATCTTATAGGTTATTAAGTGGCCTACTGTGATTGTGGTGAACTGAATGAATCACCAGTACTGGAGGGAAACAATGATATTACTAAGATTAAATAAAGATCTTTTTGAAGTTACTTTTCTGAACTCGCCCTCCAGGAGCATCAAAGAATGGGCCAGACGTGAAACTGTGGGATTATGTTAGTGGCCATCTGATGACTTTAAATCATCTAACTTCTGAGGTCCCTCCAGTTATTTGAGAGACACATGGGCAGCAAGGAGATCCAGGACCTCCACTGTTGTACATTATTGTACAGAGTAATGCAAACAAATGACAACCGTGAACTCTCATGTCAGATCATTTTCATTTATGTCTGGTTGCATTCCATTATGTCTGTTGATCCAATAAGCCATTTAGCATTTTATACATGTATTCCTCTTTTATTCAAAGTGTATTTTCCTTTTTACTGAACCTTCATATTGTGAACAAACTACTGACTGAGCATACGTTCAGAGCAAATGTTTAATTTTTTTCCATTCTAGTCAAAGAGGGAAATATGAGTGTATGAGTGTGGGTATGTGTAGGAAGGGGTTGTTTTGCAGTTTCTAAAGGAAAAAGTTGTAAAAGTTATTGTAATGACAAAATGGAGTCCTGCCTTAGGGATGTATAAAGTCAGGAGCCTTGATGAACAGAAAGACATAATGGCAACATGCAGTGTCCTGTTTACTCTGAATGACTTATGCCTTGGCAATTCCCAGCAGACATAGCAGATAAAGAAGAATCTTTTTAATGAAGGCAGCATGTTCATCTCTGCCCTCTGCTGCCCTGAGTGACAGTGGAAGGTTTAAGTAACTGCATCTGATGAGAACATGATATGACTTTTCTTTCCAGGAATTAGTGAATCCCCACTCATTCTCAGATTACATGGCTTTTCCTCCTGTATTTTATTTTCACCAACAGCTGATACCTGGCAGGACTTTCTACAGAGTCGTCCTTCTCAGAGAAGAGGGTGAACAGTACTATGTGAAAGCAAAAGTTTAAAAAGGTAGCACTTTACTTAGTCAAGCGTTGTCTAGCCTGAAGAAGAAAACAGTGTTATGTATCTGCAGGATTTCCTCTAGGCCTCAGACACCCACCACATCTCAGAGATTAAAATTCACATGAGCATGGGCTTGAATATTTCTATGCACATTAGACAGGATGATCATAATGCAATAAACAGGTCATTTAAACTCTCATCAGGACCAAATACAGCAGCTAGGTGTGCAGGCATTGACAGAAGATATAGATACTGACATCCAGAGCCGAGCTTTGAACTCCAACAGCACAATACAAAACCCAGACTCTGAATGGTGGTAAAACCACAGTCAGTGTGATCCTCCATTAAAAGATATATATTAAAAACTGCAATATAGCCAATCCAAAAACAAAACCTGAAAAATTACAGTTAGTTTCAACTTGGGTCTTATTTTTGTAGCTCAGTAGATCTGTGAGTGTGTTTGACTGCACATTAGTACTGCAGTTATATTGGGTTTCCAAAATATCCCGGTTACATTTTTGTCAAGGTAAACAAACTGATTTAAGAAACCAGGATAAGTCCTTAGCCCTGTTATCCTGGTTTATACTCATCTGGACATGCTATTTGGACTAACCTGATACCGAGAAACTATGGCAACGTAGATCAGGAAGGGTCGACCTTTGTTGAATCAATTTGGAATAACCTGATACGGACAAACTATGGCAACGTAAATCAGGAAGGGTCGACCTTTGTTGAATCAGTCAATACCAGAGGTGTGTGGCAGTGGAATAGTGATAAACTGACAATCCTAAATTCACATCTACTTCATGTAATCATTAACCAGGTGGAGGTAAGAAAATAAGAAAGGTTTTAGCATTCTTGCCAGTTTATCTGTGGCTTTTATTTAACATGACCTGAGTCTTGTGTCATAATGTATCACTAACCCTAACATAGCCTAAAAAAAAACAAACCAAAGTAAGTGATTAAGTGTTCTTGGGGCCACACAGTACATCTGTAGATATTCTGTTCATATCAAACATCTTTATGAGTAAATGTTGTTCAGTATAGTATACTGTTTTAGATAGTATATATTAACTGTTGCTAAGCATAATTTCATCGTGACATAATGGCTAAAACTACAAAAATAAGAACCAAGTTGTAATAAACCAAAATTAACTCTTTAATAACAGAAATCCATAGATGTATTAGCTGTTCTCATGCAACACATCCTGCCCTTGATGAGTTGCTATTACATTAACATCTCACTATGGTGGTGGTGGTTCTCTATAGAATTGGCTGTATGCAAATAATACACAGATATCTCAGAGGCAGGAAAAAGTTAGAAATTATGTGGTTGTAAAATAATTAAGAAATAAATAAAATCAAGTTTGTCTCCACATTGAGTCTACAGTGGTGTCAGACTTGTGTAACCAGCTGGGCCCAATTGCAGGACACAATGAAAGACTAATGACAGAAAAGAGATAAGGAGATTTATTGTGGAATATGAGACATGGGGCAGAGCCAAAAGCTCTTGGATGAGAGCGGTGAGCAGGCAAGGTGGTGGTGTCGTGTCTCATGGCAGGAACAGTGCAGCTCCTAGGACATGTAGAGGAGAGGTGAGTCTTAGTTACAGAGACATATTCAGACAAGATCTTGATTAGTGGCACTCATAGATATGAGACCTTATGTAAAAACAGGTGAAACAAGTCAAGCCAGCAGGAGCAGCCCAGAGATGACAACATGGGACCCGAGGAGGTGGCAAGGGAAATAACAGGCAGTGGGTGAGGTGAGTATAGGGTCATTTGACAGGAGGACTGGTGATAAGGGGTAAGAATGGTTGCTCTGGGCTGGTGGTGGGCACTGGAAGATCTAAGGTAGAGCACACACACTCAGTGGAAAAGAGCAGGTGAGTGGAGTTGCAGCTGGCGGCTAATAACCGGGATGCAGCCTACAGGTGAGTGTAATTAGGCTTAATGCCCCAACCAGGCTAAGGGGTGATGAGAAGACAAATACGCAAAAATCTGCTGTGTACAACACAACAAAAATCTATTGAGCTCAGCAGCAAAAATAATTAGGTAAGGTTTGAGCTGAGGAGTTAAATAGGGGTGGCAGAATCCTGGCAATGATCTCCTGGGAGGAATGTGCACTGAAGACAAGCCAGACACTTACAGGTAAGGCAGAAGCAGAATCATAGTTAAGAGGCAGAAAACTATCAGGTAATCACAGGCAGACGACAGGTGGGCATCACCAGCACACAGGAACAGGGAACAGACTGGCTGGAAATCCAGGGGCGCACGCCTCAGACTCAGGTGGGAAAAACAAACAAACAATTAAAAAAACAAACAACAACATATGCATAAGTGCTATCAGTAATAAAACACAAAAACAGAAAAATGGTGCTCCTCATTGCCTGGCCTACAAACATAACATGACCTGAGCTCAGGCAAAAATACAAAAACACAAAAATGAATGAGAGGGCAAAGGCACAGGCCAACCAATGCTCAGTGAAATAATCAGTCCATAAGACAGAAAACCTGGTGATTGGCTTACAACTGGCAGGGTAAAGGCAGGCAGGATAGAGGTCCTTTAACAGGCTGGAGAGAAAGCTCCACAAACAGCAACAGACTATCTGGCAACGAGAAATAGGAGCAGCCCAGTCTTATAGGTGCAGGTCATGAGGTGCAAGTGACAGCATTTCCCCAAGTGCAAAAGATCAGAGTAATGTGTTCTGTCTACTTGGTGTTTGTCAGTATTCTGGCAGCAGCATTTTGAATGAGATGCACTTGTCTGATGGTCATATTGGGGGGGCAATCAAGAATGCATTACAGTAGTCTATCCTACCAGAAACAAAAGCGTGAAGTTTTTTAATCCTGGTTAGACAGAAAGTTTCTCAATTTCCTGATTGTTTTGGAATTAAAATGATCAAGATGTTCATCTACTCCCCCTATTTTTTACCACTGATTGTCAGGTTTGCCCGGTGGCACCTTCCTCTCCTCCTTTCCTCACTCTAGTCTGCGTCCTCACTCTGATTGCTCTGTCCGATTCACCTGCCTCGCTTCCCTGATTATCCCCAGCTGTGCCTTGTTTATTTCCTCCCTATTTATACTCCTCTCACCGTGTACTCCCTTGCCAGTTCAATCCTTGTTGCCAGGCCCCGTGCTGTTTTTGCTCTCCCTATATATTGTCATAGCCTTGTTGCTCAGTTTTCCATGTGTTGTATTGCCAGTCATTTTCCTGTCCCGCTGCCGTGTTTAGTTTTTTCCTCTCTCCGCTTCGGACCTCTCCTCTGGACCCTAAATACACAGCACCACCAGCCACTGCCGTACAGGTCGATGCACAGTCTCCACTTCACCTGTCTCTGTTCTCCATGTCCCTGTGTTCACAGCCATCATCGCCTCACCACGACCAGCCCAGGAGTGATCCCAGCGTCCGCAGCCCGGTACCTCTTCATCCATCTGCCTATTGACTGTGTTTCTGTTACCGCTGATCAACACCCGGCCATCTCTCACTATACCCATACTGTTGTAAATAGTTATCTAGTCTTATCACCTGTAAATAAAGCACTGCTTGCACCGAAGCCAGCCGCCTGGGTCCGCTAATTTTTCCGCTCGCTCTCCTGTTTCTCGAGCGGCCCCTAACAGATTGAACAGGCCACTATGGACCCTGCTGGCTCCGGTGCAAGTAGCGCATCTGCTCCTGCACATATCACCGCCCAGATGGACAAAATGGCTCAGGCACTGCAGCAGCAACAACACGACTTATCCGCCTTAACCCAGCAAGTAGCCCAACTCACCTCAGTCCTCTTGTCACAGCACGGTCACGCTGCCACCTCAGATCCACAGGCATCTCCCCATTCTGTCAGCCCCCGCCGTGATCCACCTAACCCAGAACCGGACATTTTCGATGGCAGCGTGGACAAATGCCGAGGTTTTCTGCTGCAGTGCCGCCGGGTGTTTGCTGAACAACCACGGACTTTCCGCTCAGACAGAGAAAAGATAAGCTACGTGATCAACCGACTAAGAGGTAAAGCACTCACCTGGGCCGAGGCTGCGGACACCAGTGGCATGCTCATCGGCACCACCATTCATGAATTTTTGGAGGAATTACGGACTGTTTTTTCACTGGCTTCTCATCAGGGCCAAGCTGCCAGGGATCTCATGACCATCCGTCAAGGGGCTCGTCGAGTTTTGGATTACTCCATCGACTTCCGGGTCCTGGCGACGGAGGCCGGCTGGGAGGACCGTGCATTGTGCGCGGCCTTCTGGCACAGCCTCAATGGTGACATCAAAGCCGAGTTGAACACTCGCAATGAGCCCCCTTCTCTCCGCTCCCTGGTAGACTTGGCCATTCGTATTGATAAACAGCAGTGCTCTTTCCACCAGGAAAGAGCAGGGCAGCAGTCGGTCCCCCGGATCCGCACCAAGACCACTCCACCTGCCAAAGACCGGGTACCTCTCCGCATGGGGGACTCTCATCCTTATTCCACCCACAGAACAGATGAACCCATGGACCTGGGACGTGCCCGTCTAGCCCCTGAAGAACGGGCCTGCCGTATCCGCACTGGGTTATGCCTGTATTGTGGGGCTCCAGAACATCTCATCGCCACCTGCCTGGTGCGGCCAAAAGAGCTGACTGCTGACCCACATCACTCACCGGACTCCATCCCTCCATCTCACCATTGCCGGCAACCATCACGAGGACATCCACTTCCACATCTTCTCCATTCCAGACACACCACTGGTTT